GGGGCCAGGCTGGCAGCTCTCCTGCCCTAGACGGCCGCTTTCCTGTGCCTAGTGCGGAGGTCGTGGACGAGGTCTGCATGTGTGTGTGTATATAAAATCTTTATCAAATGTTAAGACACACAATCTATTTCAAGAGAGAGAACTCATGTTGTCTTTGATTTTTTTTGGATTCATAAATACCTTTCTTTAGAATTGCACCAATGCTAAATTAAGTAACTTAAAAACATACAAGAAAAGATTGAAGATTATGTTATGAAAAATATTTCTGTAAAAATGGGGAAGAAGACACTGGACGGCTCAGGGAAACCTTAATAGGAATCTTTTACCCCTAGACTACCCAATCAAATCCAGCCACAGTCAGCAGTGTCCGCAAAATTGGGGACTATCTGGTGCTCTGTATGAAATTATTGGATGGCCTCAGTCCAGTTCTCAAGTGTTCAGAGGGGAGCAACTTTGTCATAGTCTGCACTAACTGGATGTCTCAGCTGAGATGCCAAAACTGAATGAATGAGGACTGCACTACTGCTCTTTCAACAGGAGTGTTGGGCCAAGCACGCATACACAGTATGCAGGGAAGCTTACACTGATACTGTTGCTGGTGCACTTAGTTTGAAGATAAATGCTGTTGATAGTACTAAATTCATACAAACCATGCATACCATGCATAATTGTTACCTCTCACCCGTGTGCTCATGCAGCCACTCAGGAGAGATTCAAATGCTGCCCAGCTGATTAGCACAGTGCCACAGCTAGGTTCGTTTCTACTAGTGGTGCACATTTGCAAATGCTTTGGCACACACAAAAATTATTCTGCACCCCAATGGAAAAAATCCACACATGGAGGGAAAAGATTAAAGAGAACATTGCCATGCATTCAAATAAAGTAAGATACAAAATGTTTTAGAAGGGGCAACAGATAAAGGGATGTTATTAAAGTTGATAGGCAGGCTGATATAATCCAGTAGTCCAAAGCAACTAGAACTATTGCTCCAAACAAATAACATTAATATACTGTTGGTTTGGTAAGCTGCTGAATTCCTCTTAAAACTCCTGGGGAATTATGAGCCAGATTGTGCTGCTGAACTCAATGGAAGTTTTACCTTCAATGACTAGCATGTCCAAACTCAGCCTGAAAATGTAAAACTGAGCTTCTACGTCTCTTTCTCTTTATACTCCCTTGAATCCCAAAAGACCATAGATAATTAGCTAATGAAGCTAAACATCTCCACCTAGCTAACTGCACTTTTAAAATTAGTACACATGGTTAATTATAGATAGCTAAAATATTTGGGGCCATCATATCTTCTTGGTGAACTACCAAAAATAAGATCCAGTTACCTGGGATTTGTCTACCTAGTTCCAGATATTATGGGGGGGGTTTCCACTGAAGAGAACATATAATTTTTTGTGTGGTTTCACCAAAACACAATATTTTGATGTTGATAAAATTAACATTTGGTGCCCAACACTCAAGAGTTAAGAGCCAAAAATTACACAACAAATTGGTATGATAAATGAAATTCAGTATGGAGGAATTTCAGTTTTCAAGTGATGAAGTGTTATGATGAACAATACTATAAAAAAATAATTTTAACAGTTGTGAAAAATAGGATGACAGCTGCACTCAGTGGGTCCAATTCTGATTTCGCACCTATTTTATGCCAGTGTAGCTCCACTGAATCAACTGGAAATACACCTGATTTATACCACTATTAGCAAGATCAGGATCTAGTGCTGTGTGACTAAAGGGCAAGTTATGAAAGAAACAGCCAGACAATAATTCTATTTTTACTTGACAGGGAAAACAATGGAACAAATACAAATCTTTTCTGGTTAATAGTTAAAACAACCACACTTCACATATTGACAGAAACTATGTATCAAGAACGTTTTCTCTCTCTCTATGTAAGTATAAACCCCCCCGTTTCCTGCAGAACAACAGAGTGATATCAGCATATCACTCTACGTCCTGAAGCCCCTGCCTCTCAGCCACCCGGTGTCCTTCCTGCTGCCCTGGATGGTGCTGAGGGGTGGCAGCCATGCAGCCTACCCTGTCTCCTTGATGTTCAGTGGTGGTGAGGAGCAGGCGGGAGCCATGTGGCCTGCCTAGTGCTCCAGGGGGAGGGGCAGGGCAGGAGCTGTGTGGCCTCCCCAGTGGTCCAGGGGGGAGTGTTGGAGCTCTGCAGCCTCCACAATTCCTGGAGCCATGCAGCATCCCCTCTCTCTGGTACTGGGGGGTGGAGCTGAACGGCCTCTCCTCCCCAACTCCCCGGTGCTTATGGGAGAATGGGAGCTGAACAGCCGCCTCCCCAACCCCAGTGCTCAGGGGGAGGGGAGGGAGGCAGAAATGGCGTGGCCACCCCCCTCCCCATGGTGGGGGGGGGGCAGGAGCGATGCAGTCTCCCCTCTCCCTGGTGTTGGGCGTAGGGATATAATAATGCAGTTGATTAACTGATTACAGGCAGTCCCCGGGTTACGTACAAGATAGGGACTGTAGGTTTGTTCTTAAGTTGAATCTGTATGTAAGTCGGAACTGGCGTCCAGATTCAGCTGCTGTTGAAACTGATCAGTTTCAACAGCGGCTGACTCTGGATGCCAGTTCTGACTTACATACAGATTCAACTTAAGAACCCCAGGCGTCCCCAAGTCAGATGCTACTGAAACTGATCAGCGGCTGATTCCAGGAAGCCGGGGGCAGAGCAACTCCGCCTCGGGCTTACTGTAGTCCGCCCCGGGA